ATCTATCTATCTATCTATCTATCTATCTATCTATCTATCTATCTATCAATCATCTATCTATCATCTATCTATCTATCATCTATCTATCTATCTATCTATCATCTATCTATCTATCTATCTATCTATCTATCTATCTATCATCTATCTATCATCAATATAGAGTCATATGTGTCCCAGGCTGGCCTCCAACTGGATGTATAGCCTAGGATGGCTACTGATTCTCTGGCCTCTCCCTCTCTAGTGTCAGGATTATTAGCACGTGTTGCCCTTGCTCCCCTACACTACAGTACTGGTGCACTGATTAGTATATCCCCTCAATCAGTCAATACAGATCCAGTTGAAACAACCCTTCAACTCTTAGATCCTCAGAAGGGGAAAGATAGCCAGGGGAGGAGGTGGCTATTTACCAATCTGTAGCTAAGCGTTTTAACAGTTTAACAACAATATCTATGCTGAGTAGCCGCTACCCTGGTACTCTCATGCTTGCAGTTTCGAGAAAAACATGGAGATGTATTCACAGTACACTTGGGACCAAGGCCTGTGATCATGCTGTATGGGACAGAGACCATAAAGGAAGCTCTGGTGGACCATGCTGAGGCTTTCTCTGGCCGGGGAACAATTGCTGTGATTCAGCCAATTTTACAGGACTACGGTGAGATATGGGACTGGGTGGAGTGGAGGAAGTAGCCTGGGAAGGTGAATCTGAGAGATGGGACCCGAGCTGTGTGGAAGGACTTGGGATTCTCTGAACTTCTAGTGTTACCCACCCACCCCATGCTTCCTCTACATTTTTAGGTGTGATTTTTGCCAATGGGAAACGTTGGAAGACCCTTCGGCGATTCTCTCTGGCCACTATGAGAGACTTCGGGATGGGAAAGCAGAGTGTGGAAGAGCGGATAAAGGAGGAAGCCCAATATTTGGTGGAAGAACTGAAGAAATATGAGGGTGAGTCCCATAGAATGGGCATAAGTGAAGACATGAGTGCCCAGGCAAAGATTGAGAGACACACACACACACAAGGGTAGAAACACACACACAATCATACAAACACACACACACACAGAGTGTGGGGAAGATGAGATATGGATATAGTTGGAGAGAGAGAAGGGGAGGGAAAGGGGTAAGAAGAGAGAGAGAGAGAGAGAGAGAGAGAGAGAGAGAGAGAGAGAGAGAGAGAGAGAATACAAGGCCAGGGAAAGAAATATGAGGCCTATTGTGTCCAAAATAACTCAAAACATGTCCTGACCATGGTGGTCACTTCTGTTCAGAAAAATAAATCTTTGAATCAGTTTTATCTGTCAGTTGGGTGTGATTGGTGCACACTGGTCATCTCATCTTAGAACTCAGAAGGCTGAGAAAAGATAGATGGTCATGACTTCAAGACTGGTCCTGTACACATTGTGAGGTCCTGTCTTACACTTGTGAGAGTGTTGCCAGTACCATATATAGTGGTCATGGTGGGGTGTGGTTGTAATCACAGCAGGCCATATGTGGAGGCAGAAAGCTGAAATTTTCAAGGTCATCTTCTACTGCATATAGAGTTCAAGACCACCTTGGCTTAATTGTTGTCATGCCCTCCATACCCTACAATGTTCTTAGTCAAAGGCAAATGCAGATCTTAGGCTAATGAAAGCTAAGAAAGAAGGAAGAGCTGCAGACATGTTCAAAGCAGGAACTGGGGTTTCTCCTTGTGATTGTGCTGATGGGAAACAGTGAACACAGAGGCTCATGGGAGTTGTAGTTTGGTAGAAATCAGAAGCATGTATGCTTCACGAATCTCTTAAACAAGGGCATCCTGGTGACATGGACCTTTGTTTGCAGCTCCATTTCTTTTTTTTTTTTCTGCCTCTTTTTGTTTTAATTTAATTTAATTTTTTTACGTATTCACTTTATATCCTGCTCACTGCCCACTCATGTTTATCCACTTCTACAATCCTTCCCTATTCTCTTCTTCTCTGAGTGGATAGGGACCCTCCTGGGTATTAACCCCATCCTGGAAGTTCAAGTTTTCAAGGCTAGGGGTTTCCTCTTCCACTGAGGCCAGACACAGCAGTGCAGCTAGAAGAATATATCACATGTACAGGCAACAGCTTGTAGGATAACCACTACTCCAGCTGTTCAGGACCCATATGAAGGCCAAGCTGCACATCTACTATATATAACAGTTCCATTTCTCTACACCAGACATTTGCCTTCTCTTATTCACCTTTCTCAGGGGAATTGAGATGATATCAATTCAGAAGTGAGAGAGGAAGAAAGGTGCAGAGATTGGAAAGAATGTCTGGATAGAGAAGTCATAGAGATGAAGGATGCAAAGGAAGACAAGCTATAAGGCTGAGAGTGAAACTGACTAGCCTCAGGGAAGGCTATACAGAGAATCAGAGACTATAGACAAGCCAGCTCCAGGGAGAGGGCACCAAAAGCCAAATACTGATGGACAAACAACAGCCCTTCAACCACCAGGGTTCATGACTGAACCTGGCATACAAAGACAGCAGGCAGCAGGTCCTGATGACTTCTGAAACACCACAGGACCTAGAAGTCTAAAAAGAGATTGAAGAAGACTGGAAGATGGGAATGAAGTGTTCAGGGCTTGTGAATCCACACAAGCAATCCCTGAACCTGTTTCTGCCATTTCCTCACTCTGGGAGTTAATTACAAGCTCAGAGTCAGAATGGTGACCAGGGAGGAGGTACAGGATGGAGATGAACTACACACACTCTATTTCTGAGACCCAGAATCCTTGTCCCAGTCATGATTAGTTGAGTTGCATTAGTAAGTTAGCCTTCCTACCTGTGTATATTAATAGCATCACATCTTCTGTATAGCATTGAGGGTATGTAAAATGGTACATGCACCACTGAGGGCAGGGGCTAGCCCATCATATATGAAAATGGGTTAGCAGGTGTTTCTATTATTTGAGCAATGAAAGGGGCAGCCTCACAGAGATAGAGCTAAAGCCAAATGTTCCTCAGTTCCTTGGCCCCATGTCTCCTATCCCTCCTCCTCATCCTCTAGGAGCCCCTCTGGACCCCACCTTCCTCTTCCAGTGCATCACAGCCAACATAATCTGCTCCATTGTGTTTGGAGAGCGCTTTGACTACACAGACCACCAGTTGCTGTACCTGCTTGACCTGTTCTATGAGACCTTATCACTTATCAGCTCATTCTCCAGTCAGGTCAGTATGTAGGAAGAGAGGAGCATCCAGGGCAGAGGCAGCAAGAGGCTGCTTTGTGGGTGAAGGAGGGCTGGAAGAAAGGCAGAGACAATGCAGAAATACAAGGGGGCTGAGACCTGAGGTGGGAGGGAGGGATGGTGATCACGGGGGAGAGATCTGAATGTAGGAGTACAGAGCCATACACATACATATGAAATGATGAAGTGGGATGCAGCCATAACCCAGAGGGTAGAGGACTTGGTTTCTATGCATGAGGCCCATCTCTTGGTATCCTGGCTGAGGCGGTACAGAACACATGCAATTCCAGCATATGGAAGCAGGGAGAATAGAAATTTAGTGTGATTCTTGGCTACGTAATGAGTTTTAAGCCAGTCTGGTGTATGTGAGATCCTGTGTCCATAAATTTATACCCCTAATATAAAACAAACAAAGACAATTCAGAAAAGGGGATTGGAAGAGATAGCAGAGAATAGGAAAAAGGAGGTACAGAGAATGCAAGACAAATGTTAGAGACAGATTTAGAGGACACAGTTCAAAAGCATGCATGTGTTATAGTATAAGTATATGAGGACTCTGTGTGTGTTTCTATGTGTGTCTGTATGTGTGTGTGTCGGCCTGTGTCTGTGTATTTGTTTGTGTGTTTCTTCATGAAATATATGGATCTAGTGTAAAGTAGAGTGGCTTTCTTAGAGTCAGCACAAGACACATTCAGATATCAAGTTCTTCTCACTTGAAAGAGATTTATTCCTTGGGAAGGGCAATCGGGAGGTGGACTGAAAAGGCTGACAGCACCAAGAAAGTGTTTCTGCAAGGAGTGGGGCTTGATGGGGGAAGAGGAGAACTCTGTGCTAGGGTGAGTTGGTAAATCTTGATCAGACATGTTAGCCAAAAAATAAATTTTGATTGCTAGACCACAGTGTTTAGTCTCAAGAATGAGCCAGTGGCCAAATAAGGAGAATGAACATTGGGAACTGGCTTTAGAAATATAATCAAAAATTTAGCATGGGGAGAAGGGTTAAAGGCAGAATTGGTTGCCATGTTTGTCATGTTTGCTATGTTTGCCATGTTTGCCATGCTCTGGCCTATCAGAACTCTTCATTCTTACCTCTTTGTTTTATCACTGGCTGTTGGGTACATAGGTGTCATTTTCTCTTGGTGCTTCTGCTGACATGGGGACATCTTCATTAGGGACCCAAGGAAGCTGGGGTATTGATCAAGGTTGGAAAATGCAGGTTGTTTTATTTGTTGTCCAGGCTCTGATGAACTATATGAGGCTAAGGATGGATAGTCTGTGAGGCTGGACCAGGATGTAGATTCTGATGAATCATCTGGGACTGACAAGTTGCTGAAACAGTTTCCAGTTGATTAAGATATGTTGGAATACACTAGGGATAAAGGTACAGTTAAGGAGTTAAGGAATTTAGGGAAAACTTTTTTTTTAAATCTTGGATGTTTATTTGAAATTCTTAGGTGTATGGTCCTGGTAGTTAGGGAAGGGGAGTCCCACAGCAAGAAAAATGGAGTGATATCTCACTCTCTGGAATATACAGGTGGAGTAACCTAGGTTTTTGTTTGTAGAAGTACTTATCCAAGTCCCTTTAACCTGTGACAGGCCTATGCAATAGATTTTCTGGAGGTTATAAGAAACTTTAAGGTTTATTAAGGAGATAAAAGTTTTAGATATGTTAGTATTACCACTGTCGGTAATCTGATCTGAAATCTATATTGTAGAAAGTGCAATAGACTCATATCTTTGAGTCATAGTAAAAGTTTTGGGACCCAAACAATAGCATAGAGAGAAGGAAAGATTTCTGCAGCACAATTCTATCTAACTTAAGTTGCTTTTTCAGAACCGTAAGTTTCTTTCTCAAACCTTCACAACTTATTTAAGCTTTTAAACACTCAGACCTTAAGACATTTGCTTATAACTTGCACTTCCAGACCTTTATAGCTTATTTAAGCTCGCAGATCCTTGGATCTTTACAATTTGTATTTATATCCCTTAAAACGTTTTCCTTCACTGTCATAATTTCATACCTGTTAAACTTAGAGAGTGGGAAAGGCAGGGGTTAGACAGTAGAGGTGGAATTAGTTCTCTGACTACATTGTAGGTTTGGGTTCAGTTTTGTAAAAGAATGTGTTATTAGTTGGAGTGAGAGTTAGGAAGGGTTGGAGAGAAGATAGAATTAAGATTTAGTATTAAAGAGAAATGCTAATAGCAAATAATGTCCTGTATTGGAGAAGGATTAGGTATGTTGTCATGTGCGTTATGTAGTAGGGGAGTCCGGGGGGAAGGATGAGTCATAAAGGAAAAAAGATCAGCTTGGCAGTCTGTCATGTTGACACAATTACTGTCTTTACACATAAGAGATGCAAGTAACGAGTTTTGATAAGATAAGTTTGGAGGGATAGCATCTGAGACAGTAGGGGCGAATTGGAGTCCCTTGGTGGAAGAGATTGGGATCTTAAATGAAGAGCAGAGAGAGAGAGAGAGAGAGAGAGAGAGAGAGAGAGAGAGAGAGAGA